GGTAGAGAATGTCCCCTAAGGTCAGGGAATGTGAATTGGCCTGAAAAGAGGGCAACAGGTAGAAGTTTCCCTCTGTGTTGACTCCTGACCCAGATTTTCTAAGAGACCCGAAACCATTCTCACACTTCCACAGTTCAGCCCCGCCCCCAAGCCTAGGTCCACCCGGTCTCCAAGACTCCGCCCAAAGCAAAACTCCCCAGCCCTTTCTGACCTAAGTTTGCCCCTCAGGCCTAGGTCCACCCACCAATCCCCCCACACTTAGCCCCTGCACTCCCCCCCTGCACCTTAAACTCCACCCCAAAAGCATCTAGCTTTCAGGCCGGGCACTGGTCCCTTTTGCCTAGTCCTTTTGCCATTCTCAGTTCTGCCCTAAATCCCGTTTCTTCCTCTCCAACATAAGCCCTACTTTCCTTGAAGGTTAGCAAGGAGAAGTGCCCCCAGGGAAAACCTACAGCCTGGATTTAAAAATTACGGAGCCTGGATCTGCGGAAGCCCAGGAGAAGGTTGGTGGAGAGAAGGTGGTCCCTAGTTTGTTTGGGGGCCCCTTGAAGGAGTGGCCCCAAAGCTAGAGCCACGCCCCATTGTGCTGACTCTCCATTGGATAGTGTATTCTGTTATGGCCTCTCTGATTGGTTCCCCCACAATCCCTCTAGCCAAACCTACTCTGCATTGGGCAGTCCCTAGAGCCACCCTCTCTGATTGGTCCTTGCTTTCCAAACTCCCTGCTCCTGATTGGGCAACTCCTCGTACATGCTTCTTTCTGATTGGATTGTTTGCAATCATGAGCCTGGATGCCGACAGAAGTTCAACTACGTGGGGAGGAGGAAGAGCTGATTCTCTAAACCCCCTGCCTGAGAAAGGGAGTGGCCATTGACCACCAGATAGCCTTGAGTTGGAAGTTTTAACTGTACAAACCACTACCAGTGGGACTTCAGGCAATTACCTTTGGCTTTGCCAAAATTTTTGCCTCAGTTTACTCATCTGTAAATTGGGGGTAATAAGGATGCCATCTTCATAGGGTATTGTAAGGATTAAATGAGTTAATACCTATAAAGTGCTTATGCAAGTACCTGGCACATAGGAAGCCCTCAATCAGAGCGTTAACTGTTATTAATTTGATCACGTAAGTGCATGACCTTGGACAAGTTCTTTTGCCTCTCAGACCTCTGCAGGACGGCAGTTGCTTGGCCTCTTAATTGAACGGCCCCTCCTGTCCCCAGCCCTCTTCTTCCATCTCTAGCCATCAGAGACTGAGGCTATGATCAGAGGGAGAAGTAGAGACGTGCCTGGCCAGAGATGGGGTGGGGAGGGCACCAGGACTGGGGTCAGAGAGGAGCTCAAATCCGCCCCTCCCCCAAATGCTGGCAGGGGGCGGAGAGAGGGGGGCGACTTTATCTTTGCAAAGGGCTGGTCCAGTCTGGAAACAAGGGGGGCAAGTGTTGAGTTGAGCGGAGTGGTGAGGGGGATGGTGTGCTCTGGCGGGGAGGGCTGGGGAGGGCTTGGAGCTGGGCTTGTGGACCCTCCCCCAGGAATGACAGGGCTGGGGGAGGGGCTGCCCAAACCCAAGGTCATTGTGTCATTGTTTCCATGGCAACGAACACCTCTCAACAGGGAACCTGGAAGGGGGGGTGGGGAGGGAGCTCCCAGGTCCCTGGATCTGGGGACAGAGGGAGGAACAGAGACCAGGAGGAGAAGCAAAGAGAAAGAAAGGGTGATTTATCTCTGTGAAGACCTGCCCATCTCAGAACTCTCGGAGCCTGGTACACCGTGGGTGCTCAATAAATGTCCCTCAGGGACAAAGAGAGGCTGAGAGAGTCAAAGACTCAGAGATGCCAGAAGAAAGAAGACTCTCCAGACTGGGGCGGGTAAGGTGTCCCTCTCCTGCCCTTCAACCTCATACCCCTCAGGGGTCCACTGAGAGTCCAGGATCCTCTCCCCTATCCCAGTCTGGGGCCCCCAGGCCTACCTAAGTACACAAACCACTCACCCCAGCAACTCCCTTGAAGCAATTACATTTGATCCTTTAACAACTTTTCTGCCTTTAAATTCTTCCTGCCTGGGGGCTCACTGAGGAAAGTAGCATTCAGTGCAGGCTCACGTCTGATGCCCCTAGAGCCGGGGGTGGGAAAGTGGGAGGAGGGAAAGTGGGCACTCGGCCTCGTTTTTCCTCTCAGGAATCCAGGTGTCCTTATTCCCCTTGGGAGTGGCCCCTCCTGGATTCAGATATTTTCCCATTCCTCCAGGAAACCTAGCCCCCCTTCCATCCTCCCACCCACCCACACACCCACACACCCTAGAAAAACCTACAGGCCCCTCCCTTTCTGAGAAATCGGTATCCTCTTTTCCTCCTGGGACTCACGGCCATCCACTTGGTCTGCCTGCCCTCTGCTGGCCCAAGGCCGGTACTGCAGGGACTGTGGGCTAGGGCCCACAATGAGAAACAAACTGAGAGCTGAGGATCTCTTGCATTTTAATTTCTTTAAATTAAACTCCTCCTGCTGAGGAGTTCTTGCATTTTAATTTCTTTAGGGTTTCGGATGTTCAGGTCCTTAGGGGTCCGAGTTCCCAGTCTCTTCAGGAATTCAGACATGAGGATTTCAGTTCCCCAACCCAGAGGTCAACGAAAGAAAGACAACTTCTCTTGGAGCCAGGCCTCGGTGAGGTCTTCAGTGGTGCGGATTTCAAACACCTGGGCGGGGAGAGAGGTCTCAGCGTTGAGATCCAATCAGGAACTCAGAGGCGAGCACGCCGGCCCCTTCCTCCCTCAGAATTGGAGTCCCGGACCCTCAGCCCATCCTCCCTCAGACCTGGAAGCCCAGACCCTCCCCCTCCTCCTCCCTAACACTGGGGAGCCCCAGCCCCAGGCCCAGACCTTCGTGAGCTCCGCCGTCTGCACCAATCTGTTTTTACTCCCCGCATACATCATTTGTTGTTCAGGCTTGCAGCCTGCATGGGAAAAAGGAGAAGGGAGCATAACTGGGGGACCCCGGTTATCACTAAGGCCCTAGCAACGTCATACAGGCCCTGAAGTTTTTCTAAGGGTCTTGGGAGCTGTTCCAAGGTGGTCTCTTGAAGCTCTACTCAGAGTTTTGGGACTTGTTTGGGGGCTTGCTATTCCGAGGGTTCCTGGAGATGGTTTAGAGGCCAGACAGGGCTTCTAAGGAAAAGGAAGAGGCTAACTTGCTTATACACCTTGGGACTGAGGAGGATGGGTGGATTCTTAAAGAATCTGAGCCCCCACCCCCACCCCGCTGCCCTCCCAACACCCACACACCACACACACGCACACACCACATGCACCACACGCTCCCGTACTCACCAAGTCACGTATACACACATTCACACAGTGCCCGCTCACAAGTACCTGCACCCACATACACGCTCTCACATGCCGCACACACAGCATCTAAGACCCCCCCTTATCAGGACAGGTGTCAGCTGTGTCTCACCCACGGGGCTGGAGAAGATGAAACACAAGGGGTAGGACACTCGGCCGTCCTCGTGCACATACTTGTAGCTGTAAACCACGAACCTACACCAGTGAAAGGGGATTCAAATTCAATACTTCGGCCTGGCGCCCAGGTCCAGGGCCCATTGCCGGAGCCCACGATCTTGAAATCTTGCCTGAGTCTGAGGGCCTAGGGTTAACAGATGAGACCCAGGACACTGGCCTCAAATGCAAAATGAAAATCAAAAAGGAGGTGCTTGTTCGATTCACAATAACCGATGACATAAGTGCTATTATTATCCCCATACTACAGATGGGAAAACTGAGGCCCAGAGAGGTAAGGTCACTTACCCGAGGTTCTGTGGACAGAGGAAAGATTTGAGCCCAGGAAATTCAGTGCCGGAGTGTAAGGGCTCAAGCACTATGCAGTACTGTCCAGAGCTCTAGATCTCTGGCCTGAGACTAGGGCCAGCCACATAACTTGCCAAGCCCAGCGCAAAATGAACACATGGGGCCTGTTGTTCCAAAGGCAGGAGAAAGGCTGTTCTTCTTCTGCAGTCTGTCTCCAGACTGACTGTGGTCTTTCTGTTTTTTTAAAGTATACTTTTTTTGAGAGAGAGAAAGCATGTGTGAATGGGAGAGGGGCAGAGAGACAAGGAGACACAGGATCCGAAGCAGGCTCCAGGCTCTGAGCTGTC